TGCCTCGACGAGGGGCTGGCTCCCAGTCCTCTCTGAGCACATCTGCTGCTGTGTCCTCTGCATGACATGTCCCCAGGCACGTGCTAGGAGAGCACAAGAATGTTAAATCCTGCCCTGCAGAAATTTGTTGTCTTTTTTTTTGCAGGCTAAAGCTGCAAAAAACAAACCCAGTGAAAACGAGCGGGAGGTTTTTTCTTGCTCCCCTTGAGTTAAAAGTTTTTGGCTGGGGTTTTGTTTTTTCTGGGTTTCTTCTTAAATGGGAGATACCTCACCCTCTTCATTTTCACCTTCCATTTCTGAGTTACTTTCTGCCCTTCCCCTTTGGCTTCATCACGAATGCAGCAAAATCCACTCTTAGCTTCCAAACGTGAACGTGCCAACACTGAATTACTTACAACTGCTCATTTTTTCCCACCAAGGCATATTCATTTTTCTTGGAAAACTGCCTGGTGAAAAAGCAGGAAACATAAAGCATCACAAGATTTCTTTTTTTCCCCCCAAACAGAGTGAGTTTGGGTTTGTGCCAGGGGTTAAAGCACCCCCCAATTTTCAGCTGTCACGGTTGCAACTGGCTCCTGCTCCCCTAGCCCAGCAACGTGCTGGATGCTGAACTCCTGCAAGGAAAACTCTCCCTGGTGTCACCCCGAGTGACAAGCATTTGACAAGACACCGTCCTCATGAGAGGTGGCTCCAGGGTCTCTGGAGAAGGGGCCACCAGGGTGCCCCTCTTTGCCCTGGGGGGTGTGCATGCCTGCATGGACAGCATGAGAGAACACGTGTGCTTGCTCCTGAGCCCTGCAAGCCCACGGGAGGAGTCTGTCTGTCTGTCCAGGTGTCACTGGCAGCATTTTGTCTGGAGGTCCTCACCAGGAGGGTCCCCGTGGCCCCGGTGGGACTCCAGGAGCCACGCGGGAGCTGTGAGCCAGGGGTGGCTCAGTCACCTGGGGTGAAGGGAGAACAGGGGGGATTCAGGGAGTTCCTCTTCCCTCACAGCCATCAGTGACCCCCTGCCACTTGCCCTTTGCTGTTCTCTTGGTGAGGTGCTGGTGGGGAAGGACACGAGGTGACAGTCAGGAGCAGCCCCGTGGCTCAGGCACAGCTCACAGCCTGGAATCGTGTAGGCAAAACCCAGCAGAGCACCCCAAAAAAGCCCCTGGTCCTTCGTTTCCAGTTCCAAGATTGCTCTTTTTTGTTTGATTGGGGTCTTAGAAGCTTCAGGACGTGGTTTTTGTCCCGTTCCAGGCTGCCTGCAGGACAGCTCCTGGGTTTTGTCATGTTTAAGGTCTGCCCATTGCTGTCTCCTCCTGGAGCTGGTGGCCCAGAGGGCACTGAGCCAAATTCCCTCTTTTTTTTTTCTTCATTCCTGAGGAATTAATTAACATGCATTAAACTTTCTGTCTGGGGCCATTTTCACTTAGAAATGTGGCTACTGCTCTAATCCCAAACTGTTCACTGGGAGGGTGAGAAGTTTTAGGTAATCCTGCCTTGTCTTTAATCCAGATTACCCTCCCCGGGGGTGTCTGTGTAGACAGATCCCGTGGAGGCACAGCTTTCACTGCAGGAATATTTGAGCTTTTCACTGGTTTAATGTGATGGAGGGAATTGGTGTTTCCCTCTCTTACAGCTGGGGAAACTGAGACACTGTTAGTGCAGCTTGATACCAGGGTGCCTTTGGCAGGACAAAAACTCTGATTTTTATCTTCCCACTCCCTTAACTACTGTCTAGTTCTTCCTCCCACGGCTTGTCCTGGATCCTACCTCCTGATGATGACAGGCCAAATGTATTTATCTTCCCTAGTTGTCTTCAAGCCACTTTTTCATCCTTGCTGCCTGGGAAAGTGGCATCTCTGTGTGATACCTCAGTCATCTCCCCGTCCTGCAGACAGCAGGCTGGCCTTGGCCAGGAGATAACTGAATGTAGAGCCTGGTACTGCTCCAAAAAATCCAGAATCATATGGGCACCACCTCCCTGGGCTGCAGGCAGAGAGTGTGACAGCAGCAAGCAGGCAGTCGAGGGTTTGGCTGAATGTTCATTTGTTTAAAACCTTGCACTGAAGCTGCCCAGGGTGGGCTGTGGGTGTTTCTCAGAGGGTTGAGGTGCCCCCTGGCATGGAAACCACACTGAGAAGTGCTGCTGTGGGCTGGCTGTGCCCAGCCTGCTGGTTGCTGTTGCTGGGTTGGAGAATTTAGGGAGATTTGGTGCCTGGTGGTGTCCTCCAAGTCCAGACTTGTCTCCACGTGGTGTCTTCTACTGGGAGACCCCTCCTGACTGGCAGCTGCTGGTCACCTCCAGGAAGCAGAGGCTAACTGGTGGCCAGGAAGACATTCCCCAGGGACAGAGGAGCGAGGAGCCCACTGGTACCTGTCTGTGGGAGCTGCTGAACAGCAGCTGGGTTTGCTTCTTCTCAGCAGTGCAGAATCCTGCCAGTAACTCGTGCCCTGCTCGGGGCGTTAGGCTGTAAATCAGTGTTCCCTGCAGGAGACTTCCTGGAGTCTTGCACATAAGAAATGTCTTCTGCTGTGTGAAGAAGAGGAGGGGCACGTCAGCCAGCTGGTGCAGGCTGGAGTCACAACATCTGACACGTCCCAAAGCGAGGGGAGGATGGGGAGGATGTGTCTGCCTGGGCTGGCAGGCTCTGGGAATGGCAGATAAATGCACTTCACTTCTTCATTGCTCTTTGCTTGGGAGATACCTGGAGGTGCAGAGCAGCTCTGTGCCTGCCACTGGGGGGTCCCAGCTCCCTGGGACAGAGGGATGGCTGTGGGGGTAGCTTCTGAAGCACTTATTTAAGCTCTTTAGGAAGGAGCTGAGCATCTGGACACTCTGGAAGACCCAATTGGGTTTTGGGAAAGGATCTTGTGATCACAGTGCTGCAGTGGCACTTGGGGGAGCTGAGTGGGACTTTGCACAGGATTGATCCATCCTTGCAGACTCAGCTTACCTCTGTACCTGGCTCTGGGGAGGCCACACCTCAAATCCTGG